CACCCCCCTAAAAATCGCGCTCTTGCCTTTTAGTTTTAAGTCTTTCCTATTTGTCTTTCCTTGCTTTTCTCTTCTGTTCGCATTCATCTTTTTTTTCCTTCTTCTTCTTTTTTTTCCTACTCTATCTCTTGTTTCTGCTCTTTCTTTTTTTTTCGTTATTGTGTTTTTTTTCTTTATCTTCTCCTGTTTCCGTTTCCCCTTCGGCCGCCTCTTGCTTCGTTATTTTTTTTTCTTTGTTCTTCGTTATTCTCGTCTGCTATTTTATTTCTTCTTTGTTTTCCCTCTCCTGTTATCTATTTCTCTTTTTCGTCTCTTGCATCGTTATCCCTTCTTCGATTTGTTATTCCCTTCTCACTCTCCTTCTTTTCCATCCTTCCTTATTCTTCTATTTCATTCTCTTCTTGTTTTGTTTCTCTGTCTCCTGTTCCCTTCCCTTTCTCTTCTTCCTGTTCCTTTTTGTATTCATTCATCTTAAATTCTTCTTCCTCCTCCTTCTGTCTTATGTTTTACCATTGCATTATTTTCTTTATTATTAGCTTTATTGCTTTTTGTTAGTAGTAGTTGTAGTAGTAGTGCAACAACAACTATAACAACAACAACAACAACTACTACTACTACTACTACTACTACTACTACAAATAATAATAATAATAGTAATACTTTACCACTACTTCTAATACTACTACTATACTACTACAACTATTGTTACTATTACTACTACTACTACGACTACTTCTTCCACCACCACTACTACTACTCTAACTATTACCACTTCTACAACTACCACTACTACCACTTCCACAACTGCAACCCCTACACTACTACTACTATTACCACTACCACGCCTACCAACTACCTTCAAACAATCCTCCAGCCCCCCCCCCTCCCCCCACCGCCCCCCCTCTCTTCTGATAATACCCACGCCCCCACCAACGCCCCCGTCGCTACCCCACGCTGCATCCACTCCCCGGGCCCTTCCTACGTGACTCCGGGCGGCCGCTGGGTCAGAATTCATTCAGGGGAGAGGGAAAGACTTGGGCTATGAGAAAGTTCTTCTTTTCAAGGGGGGAGGGGGCGGGGGGGGGCAGATCCGAGAGGCGAGGGCGACGGGCGAATATTGATATTAGCGATTGTATATGTTGCTTCTTGGTTGTGTGTGTGTGTGTGTATGTGTGTGTGTGTGTGTGTGTGTGTGTGTGTATACGTGTGTGTGTGTATACGTGTGTGTGTGTGTGTGTGTGTGTGTGTGTGTGTGTGTGTGTGTGTGTGTGTGTGTGTGTGTGTGATTGTGTGTTTGTATTTACATACATGTGTAAAGACATAAATAAGAACCACCGTCATGTCTTCATGTCGATCGTAACCAATTGGTGTTATTTTGTAGCCAATATGTTACTTTAGCAAAAGTGTCCTGAAAAAGATTCCAAGTCGACATCTCTCCGTCATCTAAAGACTATTGTACAGACGAACAGACAGACACTGCAATAGTAACATTTAGACCATTTTTTTCATTATTACTACTACTGCCATCGCCGTCATCCATATATGACTGCCCTATATGTTATTTTCATTGTGGTTTGGATTCCCGTCATCAGTATCACTATCAGTATAATGTAGTCTGTCTGGATTATTTATAACATTTCATTAACGAGGGGAAAGGTCACACCATGTAATTTGGTCATGTTCTGAGATAAGGTCACGTATCTTGTAATGATATTGTATGTTTATTAGCCTTGAACTATATCAACGTTTGAGGCGTCGTGCAGACTATATTTAGGAATCAAATAAGCGCCGAGTTGCAACTGAGAGAAAAAATGTGTTTTGAAAGATAGATAAAAAGTAATTTATTTTCTTTGGTCCTCCCTCGAAGCGGCGCACTCCGTTTTCTTTTAATGTTTAGTCCCCTTGGTCTACTTGAGGCAGCGTTGAGGTCTCTGGATTTTACTCAGTGTGTCTGGTTATCTGCTGTTCTCTCTCTCTCTCTCTCTCTCTCTCTCTCTCTCTCTCTCTCTCTCTCTCTCTCTCTCTCTCTCTCTCTCTCTCTCTCTCTCTCTCTCTCTCTCTCTCTCTCTGTCTCTCTCTCTCTGTCTCTCTCTCTCTCTCTCTCTCTCTGTCTCTCTCTCTCTCTCTCTCTCTCTCTCTCTCTCTCTCTCTCTCTCTCTCTCTCTCTCTCTCTCTCTCTCTCTCTCTCTCTCTCTCTCTCTCTCTCCCTCTCCCTCTCTCACTCTCTCTCTCAATGTAGCAAGTATAATTACAGCACTGATGTAGTGTAAACGAGTGTTGAAATAATGCTGTTTCAGATTACACGATCCCTTGCCATATTGCAAGAAATCAGAATTTCAACACGGTCGACATATAAACAGGATTGCCCACTCGTTGCAGAGGCATTGCATCAGCGTTCAGGAAAAAAAAACAGGATTGTAATGATAAAGTAATTCTATAAAATTGTATTGGACGAAGGACAAAGACAGAAAAAAAAATGTCGAATTGTTAAAAAAAAAAA